TTTAATGCTTGCCCTACTGGGTTTTGGTTTTACTTTAATCTGATTCCTTTCAATTCCCCTATTTTTTTTTTCCATTTAGAGTTGGAATGCTGATGGTAACATATTGTATCTTGCAAGCATGTAATGTGCTTTTTGCTTTTTGGATTTTATAGGGGTTCACAGTTAAAAAGTTTTTCTTGAGTCTCCAAGATTTTAGACTTTTGAGTTATGATAGGACTATTGTAATTTTGGGGAAAGAATTAGTGCATTTGTGGTTGTATGCAGGATAGTTACATCATGTTAGAATTATGATATTATTATCTCTTTGGAGATTAAGTATGGATTAAAGAGATGTAACTCAGTGACAATCTGTAACATCCTTAACTAAGCCACTGTTTTTATACCTGATTCTTCCACGAGAGTGGGTGTGGAACAGATAGAGGCAACAAAAAAAACCTGTTGTAGAAAGAGAGAGAAATGTGGAAAAAAGGAGAGAAAAGTACCTCTTAAATTCTTACTCAAATAAACTTATCAAAAAGCCACAGACACGAAGAAGTAAAAACACTAAGTAACCAGGGCAATAAAAATCAACAATAAAGATTCACCCAAGCAAAAACTAATTTACTATAAGTAAAACATCTAGATTACAATTGACAGATAAACAAAGCAATATCATCTGTGAAAATTCCACGACATAAAACATTCAAATGTGGAAAAAAAATCCATTAGAAATCTTACACATGATGCTTATAGACACAGGAGATATCTTGCAATTGAGAGACAAGAAGAAAATTAGTCGCTGTACACTAATGAGTAGAGGGGAGATACAGAATTTGGGAATTTCACTTTAAGTAATGGTAGTAGTCTAGGGAATCAGATTAACCTTTCAACTGAAAACAACTTGAAAAGCTGGAAAAAAAACTAAGAAAGGATCTGTTAAAAGCATTAGAAAGCAAGACACTAAGCAATTTTAGAGTCAAGATGCAGGAGGAAAAAAGAACCAGTTTCACATTTTGCAATGTTTCTCTAGGACCAATTCAGGAAGAGATGGCTGACAAGATAAGAAACTGGGCAGAGCTTTTAACAAACTAAGACAAGCTAAGACAAGCTAGGGTTCTGAACTCTCGAGTGGACTGTAGTAAGCCTCACACTTAAGACTGGGAACTCAAAGGGCTATATATGCTAGTAATAAGGGTAAAAAGGTTAATAAGAAATAAACCAGCCCTGGTAAGGACAACAGTTCCAAATTAGTTCAATCCTTAATTGGATTAAAGTAATCCTAGAGGTTCGGGTCAAAAGTAAAATTTCCTAAGGATACCTCCCCCCATATGCTTCAAATTACCTTAAATTGTCTATATACCATATCTAGCTCCCATTAAAAAAATAATTGGACCTCTATGATGGCAAAATTACACATTCTAACAAGACAATACAAAGAGCATAATTTATAGGGGATCCAGAAAATATAGCATTAGACAAAGACTACAAAAAACTGCTTACTATTAAAAATGAAAAAAGAGAACATTGAGATTTATTTTTCAGCAGAGAATAGAAATCATTAAGCAGGGTCAAATGGGAATTCAAAAACAAACAGACCCCAGAAAAGCCCAAATCACCAACCAATAAAAAATTTACCCCCTACAAAACAAACTATGGTTGGTTGGTTACAGGATGCAGGATATATTATTATTATTATTATTAATTTATTTTTTGGTACCGGCGATTGAACTCAGGACCTTGCACTTGTGAGGCAGGTGCAAGGCCACTGAGCTAAATCCTGGGTCCTCAAACTATAAAATTTTAACACAAAACCAGAATAGTACAAAGAAAATAACTTTCAATCTCACCTAGGAACATATATGCAAAGATCTTAAAAAAGATTTTGAGGTTGTATATTTGAACAGTCAGAGCTAAGCAGAGTTCATCCAAAAATGCAAGATAATTTATCCTTAGAAAGTTAATGTGTAAGCCACATTTTCACATTTAAAAGAAATTACATATAATCTTAACAGATTCAGCAAGGCCAGTTATAAAATTTTACACTTCTTCATAATAGAAATCTGAGCAAGGTAGTGAGAGGTTTGGCAGGGTATATGTATCGAAAACAGAAAGCAAATATCTCAGTACAACACAATGATGCTAATTCAACTGGCATTTTTTTTTTTCCTACTGGCTTATTTGTAAATAACAGGATTATATACATGGAACTCAGGAGTTTGTTGTCAGCCTGGGCAAAATAGGAAGACCAGTCTCAAAATTATAAAGCTCTGTGATTTAAGACAGTATGGTGCTACCAAAAAACAAAACAAAACAAAACAAACAAAAAAACCAGACAGATCAGTGGAAAAAGTCAAAAAGTCCTCCAAACCAGAACTACACATTTAGTGTAGTTACCTGATACAGGATAGATGGCATTATAAACTAAGATGTAATAGATTACTCAATAAATGTTGCTGAATATGAAAACAACACTGAGATTCCACCTCACCCCACAAAGAATGGCTTCTATCAAGAAATCAACCAATAACAAATGTTGTTGGGGTTGTGGAGAGAAAGGAATCCTTCTCCATTGTAGGTTGGAGTGCAGACTGGTACAACCACTATGGAAATCAAATATGGAGATACCTCAAAGAACTAGCATTAGAGGTTCTATTTGACCTAGCCATCCCTCTCCGGGTATCTTTACAAAAGAATTAAAAGAATCATATCACAGTGATATATGTGCACCTATGTTTATAGCAGCACAGTTTGTAATAGCTAAAACTTGGAAACAGCCCATTTGCCCATCAGTTGGAGACTGGATAAAGATGTGGTTTTTCTATAAAATGGAATATTACTCAGCCATAAAGAATGAGAAATTAATCATTCATAGGAAAATATTGAAGATAGACTCCTAAGTGAAATAAATAAGTCACACATGTATAAATTCTCTGCTGTGAAAAACTATAATGGTACATAATATCCTAATGGTATTAATTGACAATGTGAAATAGGAAGAAAAGGGCTAAAGGTGTAGGGGAAGTGGGAAAGGTAAGGGAAAGGAAATAAGGGAAAAGAAAAAAAAATGAGAAAATGAAAAAATGGAAATAAAGTATTTGTAAATAGGGAAAGGATGAGGGGGTGGAGGGAGGGCAGGGGTAAGGGGAAAAAAATGAGAACCAAGACCTGTCATGTAAAGGTACAAGATCCCAATGATGAATGTAACTGTACTGTATACCTAAAATGTACCAATAAACTCAATGAGAAAAAAAATATTGCTGGGATGATTTGTTAGCCGCATGGAAAAAATTAAATTTCTGACTTCACATTGATTTTGGTACATCAAAGTCACTTCTTGGTGATTTAGATTGGAAGGTGAGAACTGGGGATTTAGCTCAGTGGTTCCACCACCTGCCTCACAAGTGCAAGGACCCAAATTCTATCCATACAAAACAAACAAACAAACAAACAAAAAATTGAAAGGAGAGAAAGCTAGAATATTAAAAAAGAGGTGAATGCCTATAATCCCAGCTATGAGGGCAGCTGAGGCAGGAGGATCAGAGAAGTTTGAGGGTCTAATGAGCAACTTTGTGAGATCCTGTCTCAAAGTTAAATAAAGCAAGGCTGGGTATGTTGCTCAGTGAAAGAGGACTTGCCTAGCATGCATGGGGTCATGGCTGCAATTCCTAGTACTGCAAAATTATACAGAAAAAAATTTCCTGATCTAGGTAGAGGTGATTTCTCTGAGAAAAAGCACAGGCAATAAAATGTGACAATTTTGGCTATATTAAAATATCTATACAAAAAATAGAACATAAATGTAAAGGTGGCAAGCTACAGGTTGAAACGTATCAATAAAAATATAAACAAAGTATTCTTGAGTCAAGTATGGTGACAAACACAAGGGTGAGGCAAGAAGATAATGAGTTTGAGGCCACCCTCAGTAATACAGTGCCTTTTTTTTTTTTTTTTTTTGAGACAGGGTCTCACTATGTAATTGAGACTGACCTGGAACTCACTATGTTGCCCAGGCTGGTCTTGAACTCACAGCGATCCTCCTGCCTCAGCCTCCCGAGTGCTGCGATTACAGGCATGCGCTACCACACCCGGCTACACATAGCTTTTCAAGACCAGTCTGCACTACACAGTGAGACTGTCTCAGAAAGATATTCTTACGAATTCATAAGCAAAGAAAGTCAATAGGAAAGTAGGCAACCATAAAAACGAATACATAAAAATAGTTCATACATGATTTAGTATGTTTTTAAACTTTAGTCGAGGATGGGGCACACCTGTAATCCTAGCACTAGGGAGGCTGAGGCAGAAAGATAGAAGTGAGTTTGAAGCCTGCCTGGGCTATCTTAGTGAATTCAAGGCCAGGTTGAATAATACTGGGAAACCCTATCTCTTTTTTTTTGGTACCGGGGATTGAACTCCGGTCCCCCTATCTCTTAATTAAAATAAAACAAGTAGGTAATGTGTTCACCTTATAGATCATCCACAGATTTAGAGCTCCTGTTTTGGAGTAGCTTCTCCAAATCTCAGCCAGATATATTAGCTAAATTATGCTAGAAAAAAAACGCCAAGTATATAATTTTCCAGTTGCGTAAAAGTGACCTTTTGGGCTTTCAACTTCTCAGAGGAGGTAAACAGCTTTTACGAAGGACTTTTGCTCTCTACTGGAACTGGGCAAACGCTCTCTACCGTTACGGACCGAGCCTACAAAGGGTCAGGCATTGCTGCCACAGGGTCTCGCAAACAGAAACGGAAGAAACCGCCCCCCTTTCTTTCAAGTACTTGCACTATGACAGGCGCCCAGAAGCTCCTGGGGAAGCGTCAGTACCAGGCAAGAAACGACTGTCACAACTGAAACTCCCTCCGTAGGCACGCGGACCCCAACTCCATCCCACCCGCTGCCCGAGGTGGGAATAAACTAAAGCCGGGACGCGACAGCCTCCTCGGGTAACGGCCTCAACAGCCTCCTGCCAAGTCCCCGCTCTGGCCCACAAAATTCAAGCTTGAAGAAAGAATCCCACACTCACTGGAAAGTGGGGCCAGGTCCTGGTCCTGGCCCGGCCCCCGGAATTCGGCGGGTCTCCCAAGGTTTCGGGGGAGGCGGCGGCTGGGACGCCATCTCTCAGCCTCCGCTCGGCTCCCACTCTCGGCCGAGGCTATTCTGGCCGGGGCACAGTCGCTGAACGCGAGCCAGGCACAACGGGAAGAGCACCGAACCCTCCACCCGCCCACTCCTGCAAATCAGGTCACAGTTTGTGGTATTTTGCCAGCTGCGACCAGAGGGCGAGCGGATACTACGAATTCCCGGGAGGAAGTACTCTCTTTTTATTTGCCCCTGGACAGCGTTTCGGTTCTAAACCTGAGGTTAAGGACTCATCGATATTTCTGGCGGCGGCTACAATGGCCTAGACACTGAGTCCAGAGGAAGCCTCTCTGCCACTAGCTCACACAGGCTGGAAGTAGGGCCCTTTGCACTCCAGCACTCGCAGGTTAGGAGGGGTGTGAGACTGCAAACCAGGCTGTTTTTCAGTTTGCCTACCGACAAGCCGAGGAGGTCACTCAATCCTTGGGAACAGGTAGTACTTTCGTGGTATAGCTCTCGTTTCCTAGGGGAACAGAATTGCTAGACGCAATAAGTGCGTTGTCTTTAGTCTTCCCCCACCCCATTCAGAGCCGGAAGGAGTTAAATCTCAGGCTCCTGCATCTGGGAGGAAGGTAAGGGGCTAGGCTCCGAGGCGAGGGCTCCCTGACTGGGTGCAGGAAAAATGTAACAGGATGGAGTCTTTTCTCTCTTGCTGGAGCAGCTTTATTAGCCTATCAAAGAGAGTAAGATCTTTGCGTGGGCAGAACGGACTCGAGGATAGATCTTGGGATGAACTTTCCAAGAGCTCAGGATAGATTCTGAAGCTAATTTTGTCGGTACCCGGTGAAGTTTTGGATACCTCTGTCCCTGGAAATCCACACCTCACCCCTACGCTATGGGAGGAATGACTTCCTTGTGTATGGAAATGGATTTTAAAAGATGTCACAGTGTCATATTCAGTCTAGTCATTGTGGTGGGTTTTCTCATGCCCTGTGCCTTTCCGCCTTTTCTGTGAATGGTCTCCATAATCGTCCGAAAGGTGAAAAATCCTTCCTCTCTCATTTAATCAGAGACTGAGCCTAGTTCTGGTTGGCTTGTGGAGAAGGGATTTAGTCCCAGATCTTGTAGGGACAAGTGGGAGGCAGTGTTGATGCAACTTGTTCCAGAATTCTCTCTGTAAAACATACTCACAAAGAGCAGAAATCTTAGCATTGGCAAGGAGCAGTAGAAAATTTACAGCGTGAGAGAACATTTCTCAGTACTTGCTTTAAAAAATAATAACTCTGATAACGGAACAAGGATTTCTTTATGAATTCCTTTCATTGCATCGATATGAAACGAACAAATTGAAGGTATATTTTCTACTTTTAATATTAATGTGACTGAGAAGAGGCTCGATTATTGCTGTTGAAAATGGTTTCTAAAGGTTGATAAATCCGTAGCTCCAATTGTTAACACACAGAAACTTTTTAAAAAGGTTTTTTTTTTTGTTTGTTTGTTTGAGATTTTTTTTTTTAACTGCAAAATATTCAGGACAGGAGGTTTTGTAATTTTAAACCGGTTCGGGAACTTCTCAGAGTCATAAGATCCTTATGTGTTGTTTATTGACTTTGCATGATACCTTTATTCTAGTGAACCTTCTGGAGAAATAACATTCAGTCTTTAAACCCCAGGAAAAGAACGTAAAATTTTAGCTGTTTAAATCCCCAGGAAAAGCTTCTCTACAAAGTGACCTTTTTAGAGCATTTACTGTTTTATTTATTGGAAGAGGTTATTTTTTTCACTCTGAGTTAAAGTTTAATTCCGAATTAAATCAAATCCTTGACGTTAACTAATGGCAAGGAGGAGAAAAAATAATTTCATAGTTTAAAAGATTAGGTGAGCACAGTGGCATGTGCATGTAATATCAGGAGGCTGAGGCAGGAGGATTGAAAATTCCAGCTCAGTTTGTACAATTAGTTTAGTGAGACCCTGTCCTTAAAAAGATTAAGGGCTGGGCTGGGATTTAGTTCAGTGGTGCTGCTGCCACCTGCCTGGCAGGCTCAAGGTCCCAAATTCAATCTCCAGTACCAAAAGAAGAAGAAGAAAAAAAAGATTAAGGGCGGGAATGTAGCTCAGTGTGAAAATGCGCTGGGTTCAGTGCCCAGAGCAACACACACACACAGACACACACACACAGACAGACACACGCACAGACAGACACACACATGGGGCGGGGGAGGAGACTGATTCACCTTTTCTCTTTTGGGGAGTGCAGGGGATGCACTTTAAATGCTTATATTCAGTCCCTTGAAGAATCCCGGTCTCTTCTCAGCATCAAACTAACCGTAAGTGGGCTGAGGGAAGGGATTCAGATCTCTTGTAAATAATGACTTGACCACACAGAATCCATTATTTAGAGGGTGTTCTCATATATTTATGTACTTTCTTGAAAATACTCTGGAGCCCATATACATTTAGGGAACCCTGAGTGTTTCCTAATCCTAGCATCTGAAGGTTCTCGCTGGTGTGTCCAGATAAGGCAGGCTGCTTCTTTTCTTCTCACTGCTATCACATCATGAATTAGAACCCAGCCAATCTTTTTTTTTAGTAGTGACTGTTGAACTGGTGAAGAATTCTGTGGAACTAATATATCTCTGGTGAAGAATTTTTTCTGGTGATTTTTTTTCTAGTGACGAATTCTGTGGAACTAATACATCTCTTCCTGGTATTTTGTGTCAAGGATCCGTTTCTCTTTGAGTGGCCCCAGATATTTAGAAATTTACAAGTAAATAGGTTAAGGGTTGGAGAGCACAGGCTAACTATAAGAGTCATATCTGCATATAAACTGTTCGTAAGAGAGTGACTCTGCCATAAATTTTAAGCAAGTTCATTTGAATTATGAAATTGCACAAATTGAAAGGTGCTGCTTCCTTTATATGACTACATTTATACCATTCCAAACATTGACATGCAGTTATTGTTTTATAAAATATTACTAGTTTATTATTTAAAGTATTGTGGAGTAATTCACTAATCAGACCTATTTTTGCAAAAATAGAGTGATTAGGTAATTTGAATTTTTAGTACCCTTCCCTCCTGGCAACAGGAAATTTATGTTTGATTGCCTCCATTCTCTACATAGTATTTTTTTTGTTCAGTTTGTTCAAATTGGAAAATATGCAACATTTTAGGCAGATAGTTATTCTCAAATATTTTGTATAAGTTCTGTTGGAGGTTTTACTTGTGGGTGGAGCAAATTTTTCTCATTTTGCTAATAGTTACTATTATATCATCAAAATGATGTAGATATTTTTGACCTAGTGATAATTTGGACTTACTTTTTAAAGTATCTGGTTACTAAACTGTCATTAAGACTGGCCACATATTATGTAATGTAGACTGATCTTTTCTAACAAAGACTGTTTTCCCCAGCAAACTTTTTTATTTTTTATTTTTTGGTACTGGGGATCGAACTCAGGTCTTTGTGCTTGTGAGGCGGGTGGTGGAACCACTGAGCTAAATCCCCAATGCAAACTCATTTTTAATTTCTAACAGGAAAAATTTAATGAATTAGTTACTCTGTACTCAAGCAATACTGAATGGCATTGTTTAGGTATCTTAAAGGTAAGATTTCACTCTTTTTCATCTCTCATAAGAAGCAACCATTCTTATTTTTTTGATTGATTGCATTGTATGGTTGTCCTTTATCATATCAGAATGCTCAACTAAATTCCTTCACAATTAGAGGCCTTTGAGCCATTTGTTTTTTTATTTTTTTATTTTTTTTTCAGCTTTAATTGAGTTCATTGGTACATTTTAGGGATACAGTAGTTACATTCATTGTTGGGATCTTGTACCTCTACATGACAAGTCTTGATTCTCATTTTTTCCCCTTACCTCTGCCCTCCCTTCACCCCCTCCTCCCCTCCTCATCTACAAACACTTTATTTTCATCTTTTCATTCTCTCACATTTTTTTCTTTTCCCTTTTTACTCTTCCCCTATCCATCCCACCTTCCCTACACCTTTAGCTCCTTTCTTCCCATTTCTAAATGTCAGTAATCTTATTAGAATCTTATGCATTGTTGCAGATTATTTACACCAGGGAAACTATTTGGTATTTACATATGTGTGACTTATTTATTTCACTTAGGAGTATATCTTCAATATGTATCCATTT